ACCCCAAAACCCCAAAACCCCAAAACCCCAGCTAGCAGTACCGAAATTGAATTTGGTATAGACTATATACTATGAGATAACTACCAGCTTGGCTTAAAGCATGGCGACAGGAAAATTATGTGTCAATGGGCTATATTACAGCTATATTATACACATGGGTTCTAGCCCCATGTGATGTATCCTTCCTGGCCATCCAGACTACCTGAGGGCTAATAGAGATCAGCAGACTTCAGAAGTAACTTACTTCTGAAGCAGATGCTGTTCTGACAAAGCCTCGTCTTTATAGTCTGCTTCAAGAAGGAATTTTTAGATTTTGGAGCTGGACCTTTAAGGTCCTGTCTCGCCTTCTGAGAGACGCTTTGGCTAGGCAGGTCATGAAGGGGCTTGGATATTGGAGGCAAACGTACTCTCTTACGACGCTTCACCTGAACAACCTTAGAGGGACGCTCTTGGCTCCAATGTAACCTGGCATGTTGATTGTGATGGTTACATTCTGGATTAACCTCTTCTCTGATCGGATCTTCTAAACCAATAATGAGACTTGATAGATTAGGTTAGACTAAATTGATTCTGAGTTAGAGTCAATTCATACGTCTTAATAAATTTACTACTAAAATTTGGTTATTGACAATCACGTCTGAATTCCTAAGCCCGATAGAGATTACAAGCCGATTAATCAAAGCCTAAAAATGTTGATTAAGAGGTAAGCATTCTATAATAAAGGCACTGTAACATATGTGGCCCTAACCGGCTGTTATCTTCAGTCAATTTCATGTGGGAGAACTCAGGTATAATTTACTACCCATTTCTCTAAATTAACTATTGGTTACATACCATTGGAAAACATTGGTTAAAATATCGAATTTTCTAAAAATTCATCACGATAAAACTTATTAAAAGCTTATGTCAGCCTAATTGGGATGACTGTATGGGTCCCAGCCTGTTTAGAGGTTGGTGTAACAATAGGCATTGGATGCTCATGGCCAACAGTCAGGATTTGAAATCCTATTGGCTCTTTTGGAGAAGTCTTTAAAAGAAAATTTGGATATTTCCTATTGATTTTTAACAAATCTTGAGCAAATTAAGCATATTTGAGATCTCTTAGCTAATGGATCAAGGTATGGAAGCTTGGAAAACAAGGTTAGGGAGTCACTGACAACCTCCTTGCATTCCTTAGATTCGAACTTTATACTATTTCTTTCTGAAATTTCTTTCCTGAATGTAAAGGCTCACCAAGAAATGCAATAGAGTTCTCCTTACCTTCGATGGAATCATATTCGTAGGAATCATAACAATGAAACGAAAGATCAAGTGTCTTCAGAGCTGAGACGTGGTCTTGCTTTAACAGCTCTGTAAATTCCTTGGTAAAGGCGGGTTTTGGAGCAACATTTTCTTCATTCTTTGCACTCTTAACACGAAGATAGTTCATACAGCTAAAAATCTTTGAGCGTGGCATTCTGTTCTTTTTGTGTGTTCCTAAATATGTAAGATCAACAGTCAAGTTTGGAGTCAATGAATTCGAAAATTTCATACGTGTAAAGAGCCTATCTAAAGGCATCCTAGCGCCTCCGTCAAAGTTAGGACTTTGCTTGCCTTTATAGTGTCTATCAATGCCATCTAAAGAGTTTGACCTCCATAGTAGGGATAAACGTCCTTCACGCATTCTGATAGCTTCTTGGGGACTCTGTCCGGATTCGGTTTGAATATTCAGCATATAATAATGATTATCGTTCAACTTGCTTATACCGTGTAGGGGTTTTGGGGTTTTGGGGTTTTGGGG